GGAGTATACTAGCCTGCCTATTGAGCTATGTTGTGACAATAGTGTAGAAGTAGTCCAAACCAATGACCCAAGGTTCCATAGAGGAACAAGATACACTGAGAGGAAGTATCATGTTCTACATGATATTGTCCGGCAAGAAAATGCACTTGTAGTTAGAACATTGCATTGGAACACAACTTTGTTGATCCATTATCAAAGGTGTCATTGATCAATAATTTTGATCATCATCTGGATAACATTGGAGTTAGGTGCAATTTGAATTGGCTATGAGGGCAAGTGGGAGCTGTTGGGATTTATATGCCCTGGCATAGCAAATTCCTATCTGGATTATAGTGACATATGTTCCTGACATATCTGAAATATTTATGATTTATATAATTGGTGAATTCAATGTATTATGTTTCGATTCACTATGAAATTGATAGTGTCCATGTAATTACAAGAAATATTTATATATATGTATGTGATGACAATCAATGCATGATATATAAATAGTAATTATAAATTGTTCATAGTCGGTAATTATGGATGGACTCATAATTAATTAAGACTTGAACTGGATCCGCGTTAGGTTGAGATATATTGCGAGAGCCGTCGTATGCAATTACTCCCTATCACCGTCATGGCATTTGACTCTTAAGCATGAGAAAAGTATAGACTCTTTTATTAATTAATAATTACTTTGATTTGTTCGGCGGATTCTTCGGGATCCTTAGACCGACACTTTGGGTAGTTATGTAATTAATAGTTAGAGGGTTATATTTTCAATATTTGCATCATTGCTACTTGTATTTATTTTGTATTGATTATGGTTGATCACGAAGTAAATTCGAAGGCCTTCGTGTGGTTTTAGACAAAATGATTTATTATATATTTATTTATTTAAATTATTATTTTTCTCTCAAACAAATGTTTTATTGTGATCGAGCCAGAAATAATCAGAGGTACCAAAATAGATATATTAATTAAGTAGTCGGATTGATGGCTTTATTTATCCGATAACTAATTATGCATAGAGGGGTCAAAGTGCAATATTGATTTAGAGGTTATTTATTATTTAATTGGAGTTCAATTAATTTCTTTTAGTGGAGTAGAAATTAATTTATGAATTAATTGAATTGGGTCCGTGGACCGGGCCAATTATTAATTCATTGTAGCCAATAAAATAATAGGCCCAATGGATTCTCACTCATAGCCCAACTTGATATTGGAATCATATTAGATTTGAGACATATGAATTAGAGATGGAGAAGGATTTGTTGTTTCCTTTTCTTTATTTTTATGTTGCCTATAAATATACATGATCTATGTATATTTTAGGGTGTAATTTTTATGAGAAGGAAAAAGGGAATAAATTTTCTCTCTCTAGAAAATTAGGGTTTATGTTCTCATCTAATGGAGGCTCCCACAAGCCTAGTTTTCCAAGGTCATTCAAGGAGGCTTATGAGTGATTCCTAAAGGCAAGACCATTACCAAGAAGATGGGGATCCATGGAAAAGATGTCTAGCAAAAGGGATCTACAATAAGTGAGAACATTCACTTTAGAGGAGAGATCTGAGGTTTACTCAAACCTTGATGTAAGTATTCAATCTTTTAGTTGAATAATACATCATATTTTATTTTATTTTTGGCATAAAACTTGTCTCTATGTGATGAATCAAGATCTATGAATTTAAATCCCTCGAAAAGTTTTTAAAACTAGCACGTTTCCCAACAGCTCCCTCTCTCTAGATTTCTGTGGGGCCGATGAAGAAATTTGTAAGTCAAAGCAAATTACAAATTCAACAAAAGTCTCTAGCAATTACAATTTTAGAGGGACTCTAAAATTAATTTTTGCAAGACCCATATTAATTTCCAACACCTGCAAATTCTCTATACTTTTCGTAAAGCCCATTCAATGACTTCCCATAAAGAAACACACAAACCTTCCTATCAATGTTTCAGATATATTGGTATTGATGTTTTGTGTATTCATTTTTTTTTTGGAAGGGACCTTCCGATCAATGTTTCAGATATGTTGGTATTGCTACTTTGTGTATTCTTCTTCGTTTTTTTCTTTTTTTGGAAGGTTTGTGTGTTTAGTTAGTTTCTAATTCTCTAAAATAAAACCTCTATATATATTCCTGTTTTTGTCACTCAATTTAATTTGCAAATTAAAGCAAGAAATCTCTCCACTTGTCCTCGCTCACTTAATTTTTTTTTTTTTTTTTTCTCTCAGGACTCAGGTTATGCATATGATATTTTTGTGAGATCATATTGAAATTGACATTGTATTTATCAAATTTCTTGTTTTATTGATGGCCTTTGCAACTCCTACTCTTTATCCCGATGTATGATATGGGTATTGTTGTTTCATGTGTTCCTTTCATATCATACTCCTAACTTCCTCCTTTTTTTCATTTTTTTTTCATCTACGATTTTCTGCTTATGTTAAAAAATATTAATGGCAATACTCTGTGTGATTTTCGGGATGACAAAACACTGGTGCTAATAATTGTCTTTGATGTAAGATGCATAAATATTATGTAAGGTTATTATTGTAAATTTGTAATTATTTAGTAGTAGAAGGACTTTTCGACACATTGTTACCAACATACCTCATGTGAATAAAATCACTTCTGCAAATAAAAGCACTTTACGTCATCATGTTAGCCAAACAACTTTTTATTCTCAAATTTGTTTTTGTAAAGTCATTCTTGTGAGCCCTATGATGAAAGGACTTTTTGCATCAAGAAGCCTCCCCAAACACAACCTTAGTCTTCTAAGTAAATAGTGGGAATTAGTTGAGAAATTGACTGTTCAATTTATTTTAAGAAAATGGTGACTAGACTATTTCTATCGGTAGGACTGTAACTATTTTATTGTAAGATTCACTACAATTATAGTAATACATTATTTTTGGAGATTTGAAGACCTCATTTTATGTTTCAAATGACATTAAAAAGAAATAATTAAGGACCCTAGCAAAAAGAATTAGAGCGAGTTAATAAAGTTATAAATTCCTAATTCATGTCATGTGACAATAACACTAGAGAAGTTTTTTTTTTTTTTCTTTTTTTTTTTTTTTTTTTTGGGCAAAAGTGCAGAAAACCTCTATTAGGTTTCAGCAAATGAGCAAATACCTGTGGAATAAAAAGGAGCAAGACAGTCTCTATAGAGACCAAGATCACCTCCAGTCCCACAGTGCCCCATTTCCTCCATTTTGGGTCAATGAACAGTGTTAATCATGTTTGGGTAAAAAATATATTTTTGGAATAAAGAATTTTGGTGTATATATATATATGTATATACATACTGTTGAAGAATACCCTTTTTGTGTTCCCTCCCTTATTTTTTCTTCCTCTTCTCTCCCTCATTTTAGGCAACATTTGAAATAGAAATAAAATCTCACCCTAGCCTTCATCTCTCCCAAAAAATGAATGAAGCCATTTTAGAAATTTATTTCTATCCAAATAGAATCCAAAAGCAGCGATTGTTGTGTGAATCAACCTAAAATTTGAATGTTATAAATTGTTTCCAAATAGAAGCAGTGGTTTTGTCAGTCGCAATGAAATTGCAGATTCTGATTTCCTTCCAAAATGAAGCAGCAGTGTATTTCCAAAGCTAAGCGGGAATGTATTTCCAAATCGAAGCAGGAAATCGCCTTGTTTCCAACCCTAATTAGGTACTATTCATAATTTTGAGATTTGATTTTTTAGGAAATCATCTTATTTCCATAAGAACTGAATGGCAGAAACACATATATATATATAAACACAATTTTGGTAAAAAACCCAGACATAGAAAATTGATCGTTATTTTATTGATCAATTATTAGGGGTTTTAATGTTTTTTTGTGAGGATAAAAAATGAGAGGATTTGTAGGGTATATGATTGGCCGAAAAAGAGTGTTTCAGAGTGTGAGTGTTACAATGTTAAGAAAATGTTTGGTCGTTGGGGTTGCATCGCAACATTTTCCTAAGTTGCATCCCAACTTTCTCCCTATAAGCATCCCAAACTCTTCCTTATTTACATTCCAATATTTTTGTAAAATAAGTCACAACATTTTCCTAACGTACATCCCAAAACCCAAAAATAGAAAATTATTGGTGAATTTGAATTCATCGCTATTTTATTGTGCAGTTATGAGGGGATTGAATGTTTGTTTGTTAGGATAAAAAATGAGAGGATTTTTAGGGTACATGACTGACCGGAAAAGAGTGTTTCAGAGTGTGAATGTTACAATGTTAAGAAAATGTTTGGTCATTGGGCTTGCATCGCAACATTTTCCTAAGTTGCATCCCAAATTTCTCCTAATAAGCATCCCAAATTCTTTCTTATCTATATTCCAATATTTTTGTAAAGTGAGTCGCAACATTTTCTTAACTTACATCCCAAAATTTTCATAATATAAATCCCAAAGTATTTGTGAAGTATATCCCAAAATTTTCCTAATGTGAATCCGATAGGTTTCGTAAATCACATCCCAACTTCTTGAAAGGTACATCCCAAATTTTTCCTAAGGTGAGTCCCAACTATTTCGTAAGATGAATCCCAACTGTTTGGTAACGTAAATCCCAAATTTTGCGTAATATTAATCCCAACATTTTCAAAAAGTGTATGTGAAATTAGCATCAGTTGGTTGGACATATATGTTCTGTTGTGGCAACAAGGATTTTTATTGTCGTTTGTCTGGGATATACTTGATTGATACATGCAAAGAAATGAAATGAATGAGATATATGTCAAATTTAATTTCTCATACATGTGAAAATGTTTTTTATTTGATTGGTCTTACATGTAAAAATGTTTTGTATTTGAACCATTGAGATGGAACATACTTGGAATGTAGAAGTAATATTATTTTTTGTTAATTCAATATTTTGTGCATATGTGAGAAAAGGTTTTGTATTTGAGGTGTTCAGATGGAAGGTGAAGTAAATAATATTCAAGACACAACAAACGGACGAAACGTTGCTATTGTAGAATTGGAAGTGATGAAATGGAAACCAAGGTATAAAATGGAGTTTGATAGTGAGGAAGAGGCATATGATTTTTACAATGCATATGGTGGTCGAATTGGTTTTAGTATCTGAAAGGAGTATGGCAATAAAGTTAATGGAAAAATTACATCAAGGGCGTTTGTTTATAGCAAGGAAGGTGTAAAGGGGACTGACAAACGGGATGTATTTAGAAAGACTCCCCAGGTTGAAACACGAACCAATTGCAGTGTACGAATGGTTATTAGATATGACAAGACAAAGGCAAAGTATGTAGTTTCTAAATTTGTAGAAAGTCACAACCATCCATTCATAATTGCTGAATGCAGCCACATGATGCCGGCCCAGTGACGAATATCCTCAATCCAGGCCATTGATGTTGAGTTGGCTTTGGATTCAGGAGTTCCGGCTTGTAATGTATATGAGTTGATGGGAAGGCAGTCTGGTGGCAAAGAATCAGTCCGGTACTTGAAAGTGGATCTTAAAAATTATCTAAGGACGCGAAGACAAAATGAGCTTCTTTATGGAGAGGCGGCATGGCTTGTGGATTATTTTGAGACGCGTGGTTGTGAAGATCCTTCGTTCTTCTATTCCTTGCAACTGGATACTGAGCAAATGATTACGAATATATTCTGGTCAGATTGTAAAATGATCATTGATTATGGCTAGTTTGGAGATGTTATCAGTTTCAACACAACATACAAAGTGGTACACGGCAATAGGCCATTTGCAATTTTCTTGGGTATGAATCAGCACCAGGAAACCGCTGTGTTTGGAGTAGCCTTAATGTATGATGAAACAGTGGATTCGTTTGTCTGCTTATTTGAAATGTTCTTGAAAGCGATGGGCGAAAAAGCGCCAAAGACAATTATTACGGATCAAGATGCTGCAAAGGTGAAGGCATTAAAGCAGGTGAATAACTTTCATGCATCTCCATTCTTGTATTGTTTCATGCTGAAACAATCGTATTATTTCAGTCAGTTGTATTTTTTTGGATTTGCATGTTTGCAATATGGGTATTAAGTTAATTAATCATGCAGGTCATGCCGGTGACGAAGTATCATTTATGTGTTTGGCATTTAATGAATAATGCGCAAAATAACCTAATGTTTCTATTTAAACACGTTGAAGGAATAAAGAAGGTCATCTCAAAATTAATGTTCCAAATTGAGAAGGAGGATGATTTTATCACGGAATGGGATTTAATGATTGCAGAGTATGGTGTTGCTGGTAATAAGTGGCTTTCCACTTTGTTAGATTTAAGACATAAATGGGCCCTGGCATTTTTCAAACTCAACTGGTCTGCAGGAATGAGTAGCACGTAATTGAGTGAAAGCTTCAATGAGTATGAAGCTGAGTATGGCTTGCTGGAGAGGCAACCGGAATTAAAAACAAAGTACCACATATTACGTCAAGCGGGGAAGGTGTACACTAAGGCAATATTTCAGCTTTTCCAGGAGGATTTTTTAGCTGCTCTTGCGAGTCAGGCTGTTATTAGTTGTAGTGACTTGGATAACAATGGACACCGTGTTTATAAAGTTGCTGGTGAGGACAGGGTGCAACACATTGAATTGTCATACTCATGTTGTAAATTTCAAAGAGAGGGCTATTTGTGCAGGCACAGTCTGAAAATCCTTAAAGATTGCATGTTTGTGAATGAGTTGCCTTCGCGATATATAATAAAAGGGTGGACTAGAAATGCTAGAGATGGCAGGTTGGAGGAAATTGTTTCCACTGACGTAAATCTGGATCCTCAACTTGAGATTAGGTGACGGCATAGGACGCTTTACCGTATACTGACTGAAATATCTTCCATTGCATCGCATGACCCCGAAGGATATAATGATCTATTAGAAAAAGCACTGGACTAGAAAAAAACAGTACAAATAACTTGTGGTTGTAGGTTTGCAGAGAAAATTGCAAAGGGTAATTGAAAAAAAAGGGGGAAAAGTAATTGTGGAACAATTCCCATGTCCCTGAAGTTAAAGATACCTCTAAAGGACGATTTAAAAAGCTAAAACCAGCCATAGAGTTAAATAGTGGGAAAATGAGGAAGTCAACGAAAGCAACAGGCCAGGTATATGTTACTATCGCACGCATTGCTATTTCATTGTTTAACTATTTGAACATGCGAACAAAATAAATTCAAGTTCGAAACATTATATCCTTCATCATAAAACACTCGTGAGTGGAAGAAACTAACATTTTTTTTGTTTTAGATATCAAATGAAACCGTTGTTTTAGGAGACGCCGGTGGCAGTGATAGTCCGTTAACCCAGTCCTACGTGTTAGTGAATGTGAGTATTATTACAAATATATTATATATAAGCAGTTACTGTGATACCCCTCGGATCCGAGACATGGGTTGATCAGGCTTAGGCCCAAACCCGAGGGAATATCAAACAATTAATATGTAACTGAACACAGAATACAAAGCGAAATAAGAAATAAAAATAATAAACTGAAGGAATGCTAATTAAAAAATTTCAAAATATAATTATTAAAATCCGATACTCCAAAACTCCATAAGTTTAACAACTCGGGAATCCATCCAGTGGACCCCTTATTAAAAATCCCAATAGAAACTAAAACATCAGAAATAGAATCTAAAGCTAAACATAGAAAGGATTCCTACGTAGTCGGAGGAATGAATGTCTGTATCTGCATTGCACGTCCAAGCTTTAGCCCTGGAACTAACAAACACCTGAAAAATAAAAGAGTGGGTCAGGCCCACATGCAAGTCCTATTCTACTACAATCCGTACAGTAATCTGATAGCCCAAATACATCCTAGATAGCCCAACAATATCTAGAGTAGTCCATAACTATATATAGTACACACTATAGGACGCTTGCTAGTCCAATAGGTCTGTCTCAGCCTGAGTAGAGATACCATGCAAATCGCACATAATGTGGTCATGTGGACCTAGACCTACCAGGGAACAACACCTATGCCCAGTTATCCATCTTAGGCAATATACGCACCCTAACCATGGTCCTGAGACTCAAGCTCATACCATGGCACAATATAATAAATATATAAAGTCCGTACTCCTCCTAATATAAAATACCATCCATCTGTGTAATGGTCTGATATATGTATAATCATCCATTCTGAAATCATATTAAGTCATTCAACTATTTTGTTGACATGACACAAGTAGGTGATGGACTTAGCCTATATGGTTAATCAGTAACTTAATCCAAATTAGGTAGGACTTAGTATTTGAACTAGTCCATACCTAGTATGTCACCATCGCATACTGGTACATACAACCCTCTAGTTAACAAAGTTGACAAAACAGTAATAGATACTTATCAACCATACTCCAGAATTAGCATAAATATAGTTTAATATATGTATGATCAAATTATACATCCAATATAAGATTTAGAAATCCTATTGCAGTCCTTCAAATTTACAAAGTAGGACTACGTATACAACTCCTCCAAACAGTACCATAACTGTACAATATACAGTCGATTTTAAAAACTTCAATTAATTTCCATTTAAGCATGCTTATTTTTCCAGATAAATAACTATATAATTATAACACAGTTGAGACATGATTAACAGTTTAAAATCATTCGAATAAACCAAATTTCTTTAGAAAAACAATAAACAATTTCAATGTATAATCCAACCTTCCACATACAGGTTTATTGTTTAACCTTATATTATTTCCTGTTGCAACATATTAACATCAACATGCTTCCCAAGAGTTTTTACAAGTCTGTAACAGATAAAAATCTCATTCACAGCCACTGGAACCATTTAGAAACAACTCCCACAGTCCAAACCAAACCCAGAACTTGAAAAACTGAAGAAAAGAGGGTAGAGCCGCCTCCTAAAACAAAGAAGCCGGCTCTCCCCTTGGTGGAGCAGCCTCCACCTCATGTGGAGCCAGATCTACCCCTTGTAGAGCCGGCTCTACAAGCCCTAGAGCCGGCTCCCTCTTTTGGTGAGCCGGCTCTCCTCCTTTGAGAGCCGTATCCCCTAACCTGTTCGTCTTCTTCGCCTCCGACGAAGTTCAGAGTCACTGTAAAGTTTTTTATAATTTATTTCAAGGTTCAATTGATGTCCTAGAATTAATTATAAGTATGTATCCAATCCCAAATACACCAAGGTTAAGCAAGATTAAAAACCAATGCAAACAGATTCTTAAGCGAGAATAACTTTCAACACAAAAACAGATTTATGCAACGATTTAAAAGTTGATTCAAACATGCTTACAAGATTAATATTAACTTCAATTTAATCTATTTTAATGCTTGATTAATCCCTGGAGTCTAACTAGGCATGCACAGAACACGAATTAAAGGGAAGGAATAGAATAGAGACTTGCCTTGAGTTTCAGTTTTGAAACTCTAAACCACCGTCTCTGAAGTTTCCGTCCACGTCCGAGACTCCTGTTCTATACCTCTGGTGCTCTTGGTTCAACCCAGAATCACTCCGTCCAGTTATCCTTGAACCTCTCTGGAAATCTCTCAAAGTTCTCTGGAAATCTCTTAAAGTTCTTTCCGTCTCACCGTAGTGAATAGGGTTTTGTTTATAACCCTAAACCAACGTATAATACTGTATTTATAGGCTTCAGCACAACCTTAATTCTAATACAAACCCAACCCTAAGTTGGCTAAAACCCTCATATGATTAACTAAAATAAAACCCTACATCTAATATACAATAGCAACCAAAACACGGACAACAGTTAATTTAAAAAACAATTTATTTAAATAGCCACATAAGCACATACTTAAACCAGTCACAAATTAATTAAACAAAATGCTAGTTAAATAAAAGCAAATAAATAAAATACACAATTCAATGAAAAATAAACAATTAAACAAATAATTTAGTAAAAACGCACTTAAATAATTAAATTAAATGTCAGGACTGTCCTTTTAAAATTAGGGGTATTATAGTTACTATTCATTCATGCCTGTTGGTTAACATGTTGATTATGTTTAAAAGTGCATTAACAGTGTTTATATGAAATATTTTAGGGCAGAAATTCCCGTCGAATTTTTCTATGAAGAATCTTACGTAACACCACCATCTGTATTCCACAACAGACGGCTTAATATTTGTGAACCATGTACTTCATCAACTAACCATGTAAGTGTGTTAATTAAGATGCATTATTTTCTTTGGTTTTCCAAAATGGACCAAATTTTTTTTACATCTAAACAATATATTACAAAGGTCACATAGGACATATCCCACACCAAACTTTGCCCAGACTACGCAACATCAGAAAAAGTCACACTAAAACCTAATGCAAAACACTGATGCAGATCAGTTGAAATACTATCCATTTTTTGTTGACCTGCAGCAATAAAATCCCCAAAACTCTTGATCGAAAACTGTATGTGGAAAAAAAAATTGACATCATTTTACCATCACACCAAGGATGAAGAAAAATGTTAACGTTAGTTCCTTTTTCTAATAACATACTTACAGTTGATGTTTATGAAGTCCCCCAAATGGCAACTATACTTTTCCATATAGAAGAATTTGAAACCTTTGGAAGGACCTGCTAAAAGGATGTATTCCTTAGGTATCATGAACAATGTTTATACCCAACCACCGAAATCCTATCTTTGGACAGTAAATAATCCGAAGCTAATACACAGTTTTCTGGTAAATCAATATCCAAAACTGTTGTCACCCCCAAACCACCTTCTTCTTTAGGAGCAGCAAGCTTCGTCCGTTTTAAATTCCTTGTATCTTTATAATATCTTCATCATGCCCCAAAATGAAGTTCCTCATTGTCTTTCATATGCCCATAATCATGTATAAAATTCCCTGCCGCATCTTGAATGACAGTGATATTGGTTTTAGCCATATACTCTTTAATTTGCTAATGTAAAAACCTTCTGCACCTGTCCTGGTCCTTCATCCATCTAATTCTTGTCTTGTGAGACAAACGAATTGCTTCATTAGAGCAAGCACATTCAAATTTCTATCTAATATCCTACTCGTCAATGAAAACATCATTCATAAGATTCTCGGCTAACCTCAATTGCACTTGCTCAAGAGACTTCCTAATACCAATAACGTAAAATAAAACAGACTCAAACTTTACAAAAATTTCAATTTTTTATAGCCCTTTTTAACCAATGTAAAATTATACAGCAGCTTCTGGATTGGATTCCCACCCATGACTATAAATCAGAGATAATGTTGCGAACCACTGTCTTTTTATTCCAAACCAACAAAAATCCGAAAAGCTTTGGACCTTCACCAATGTGCAAAGGAATGTTCAGTTTAAGTCCCCTATGATCTGAAATGAATGTTGTGGAGTAAGAATAATATATGAACTTAGAAATACATTATCCCATTCCTGGTTCATAAGACCTTGATCCAGCGTTGTATAAACTCTTGTCTGACTAAACCTTTTAGTACCCTATATAAATTATCCATCGTCCACTGGAATATCAGATAAACAAAACTGATCAATGGTGTGGTTAAAATCATATAGCAGTGAATTATGGGGGTTGCCTAAGGCCTCCGTTCATCCTATCTTACTATATATTGTCAACACTATAAATGTTTCAGGCTTATATTAGCAATCCAGCCATGTTGTTATCTCAACTGTTCAGTACGCCCTCTTTATATGATGAATTAAGTGCTCATCGTTTGGGAGGTGATGAGGTAATCATTTATTCCTTCTCCACTAATGTTTTTGTCATTGTTCTTATTATAAATGTGTTGACAGAAAATAGTTTACAAAAATTATTTGGATTACATTTGTTGTCATTGTGGTTAATTG